CTCTGTTCCCTCTGTGGTTATACTCTAGCAGTAGTGGTCTGCAGCCATGGTTCCCCATCCCCTTCTAGTCAGCTGTTGTTTCCCGTTTTGTTGTCTGTCATAAAAATGAGGGTGTTTGAAGGGAAATTACACCCATAGCAAGTTTGTAGGCCAGCTGAAGTATTTTAAGGCAGTTCAAAATGCCGAGTTTCTTGGTTGTTTTTTTTTTTTCCTGTAGGAAAGTACTGTGCATGCTTCAAGAACATGTAATTAGCTGTTTTCTCCTCATTGAGGAGTGCTGCTGGCTGAACAAGTGAGAGGAAAAAATCAACTGAGTAGTAATCAGGGCAAAATGTCTTTTCTTGTCCCCCTTTTCTTGGTATTTACAAGAGCCACATTGGGCATATTGAAGTGCAGGTCAGAAGCTTTAAGAGCAGACAGTGATTATAGTTAACTGACCTGAGTTCTTCACTACTGTGTATTTCTGTGGGCTGTAGGGCTTGTTCTTGCTTATATTAACACTAGCTTCAAATTACAGTATTTCTGTTTTTTTGAGTTAGAAATACAGTTATGTACTACAGAAATAAACTCAACTGGGCAACTCTGGAATTTTGAGCAATGTCCAAGAAGACACGTGTGTGTGCGTGTGGGTTTAAATAATTGATTTAAACAAGCTTTGGATATCTCGCTCCGAGAAGCAGAATTTTTCCATATGCCGGCTTTTTTCCATAAGGACACTTTCAAGATGCTGCCAGCTGTAGGGAACATTTGATAATTTTTCTGAACGTGGGCTGTGAGTTTCTAGCAGTTAACTACAGTTGTAAACTCAGTGGTAGATTCTGCCTGTACCAGACTGAAGGTGGGAAAGAGTAAAGAAGTTTGGGTGAGTTTCAAACAGCAAGGTGCAAGTGGAAGTCCTGTAAATAGTGTTAATGTGTGCAACCTCCCTGCCTGTCTTCTGAAAGTGCTATCTCAGCAATGTGAGGCCTAGGCTTTAACGTAAATGTTGGCATACGTTGCTACTCTGGGTTGTGAAATGTTTAGCGAGTGTACTCTCAGGAGCTTGCAAGTGTGTACTGTTTGTGGTATGTATCAGCTTCTGCCTGGAAATGTGTAACTCTAGTCAGGAAAGCAAATAGGCCTGACTTACTGGACAACTTTATTACAAAAGGGGAAACTTTTTTGTTTCTCTTAGTACAGGATGTAGAATTTAAAGGTGGAATTTGTGCTGTTCCTGCAGCCAGGCCTCTTCCCAGTTGCCTGGAGAGCACCTGAGAGGGAATCATCTAATCAGAGGATTTCCTCCTGTTCAGCAGTGTAATCGCTTATAGTTTTCCCAGGCCTTACATTAAGCCTCCCAGTTAGTGGTTGTCTAAACCTCTTTAAAACCAGTTACTATCTGTTTTGCTCCCTGGATGGAGGGGATCTTACTGTAGGCTGTGTCTTTAGTGGCTGCTTCGTACCAGTGCTTGTTTCTGAGCTCTGGCATAAAAAAGAATGTATGGAAGAGGGGATGTTGCATACTGACCTGGAGACGTACACCCAACAAACTCAGGTGTGGAAAGGGCTGTGTGCCACATTTAAAGGTGGACTTGCAGGTTCATGGGTTTTTAAAAACAGTTCTTTCCTCAGGTGGTTAACTGCTAATGCCAGGCGTGGGCTGAGTATAGTTGTTCACAAGTTTGTGATCCAGCAAACACCCTTAGTAAGGAATACTGCAGATTGACCCTGGAGGCCACAAACTAAAAACACAGCAAGCTGTTTATGTACAATGCCTGATAATGGTTTTATAATCTAATGTTATATTGGAGCTTCCTATTGAATAGATAGTAATGGCAAGTGATCTTTAACCTGGCTGCCTCCTGAGTGAAGGACAGAGCCTGCAGCAAGTCCTGCTTTCTGCTTAGACCAAAGAGGAGCAGAGCAGGAGGGAGAAACTGTAATGGGTCTTGTTTCCTTCTGCTCCACAGCAAATTTGAAACACGTTTAAATTCTATAGTGACCACTTCAGCCGGGTGTTTGGGTAGCAGCAGGGTGACAGTAGCACTCTTGAGAGGTGCCTTGAAAACAGCTGGCAAAACTTAGAGGCATGAACTTGTTAAAATGATTTAAAAAATATTTGAGGTCTACCCCTTAGAGAAAGAATGGTAAACCTTTGCAGTGCTGGATAAAAACCAGCTTAGTAAATAAGGCATCAGTATCTGGTAGAGAACAGTGACATTTTTGGCTTGCTGAAGTAATTTACATCCTTTCTACCTGGCTCTGCTGCTTAAGACAAATAGAGAATAAGAGCTATCTCATGCAGAGAAGCCTTGATTTCACCATACCTGTCCTTCTCAGTTTTGGTGTATGCTCTAAGCTGTACTATGTCTCGAGTCCCCATCACTCCAGTACTTTCTTAACCTTCCCTCTGTGTTAGATTAACTTAAAACAACTGGTGCATAGCAACTTTCATGTGTTACAGACTGCTTGACTTCAGTAAGTATTAAAAGACATCAATCTTGTTTCCATAGTGAGCATTTTGGGGGAAACAGTTCTTAATGGAAACTTCAGGCTCTATTAACAATGACCCTGGCACTGAATGGCTACATTTGCTGGCTCTGATTGCTTTTTCTCAACTGTTTTGGCTCTGTCATTTCTCCAGTCAAACTGGTATGAAGAAGAATAAGTTTGGGTACAGTGGCCTTGGGTGACTGTTGTGTTAGGAGGTAAGCTTCATCTTTTGAGCTCTAATTTGCAGTGTCCTGTTGCAGACACAGGAGCATTACAGCTCTGTTGATTGCTGTACTTTTTGGAGGCAGGGCATTAGGAGTGTGCTTGAAAAAACACATCTGGCCCTGTGGGGAATAGCAGTTTAGCATGGTACAGCAAGTGGGACTATGTTCTACAGCATGACTAGAAGAAGGTGAAGAAGTTAAGCTGTTCATCACCAGTGGGAAGAAACCTGTCTCAGATACTCATATAACCATAAGTCTTTGACTTTCTTTTTTAGAGGCCAGCTAATAGAACGCAAAGATGCTTAATTCTCCTCTTAATAATCCACCCTTGTTGGCTAAGTTTGGTCGTAATTTATTCTGAATAAACAGTTCCTTGAAACAAAATAACTTTTAACTTGGAAACAGTGACTTTAACTCCTGAAGTTGGTGCTACTCAAGACAAATGATGTGCAGAGAAGGGTCTGTCAGGGTGGAAGAGGGACAGGTGTGTGTTAATTATTTTGGAGGCTTCTTTTGAGGAACAGAATTGGTGGCTCAGTTTGTTCAGAGAGTAGTGTTCTGGTTTGATTCGTTTGCCTTTATGTTGTGTTTATATGGAAATTTGGTGGAATATTTAAGACAACCTGGTTTGTATGTGAGGGTGGACAAACCTTTCATGGCATCCATGTTTTCAAGTTTGGTCATTTGGAGGTGGATTGCATTGGCAGGGGCCACAGCTTCCCCTCTATGGGCTTAAAAAAGAAGTGTTTATTTAAAAGGTGTTTCCTCCTTCCTATTTTTAAATGCCTAATGGGGTAAAAAATTTTAGTATCCTCTAAAATGGATCACAGAAAGGGGGAGTGACTTCTGTGGAGTGCTAACGAGGGGAGCAATTGAGGTGCTCCCCTCCCCTGCTCAGCCAAGCATTGCTTATTTCAGTCTAAGATCTGGGTTTTTGATCTTGGATTCAAAAAGACTCATGCTTTTCAAAAGTTGTTAACAGTTTATTAACAGCTCATTCTGTGGGAACTGCCTTGTTGGCAGAAAGTGGGAGGAGGCTGTTTCTGGAGAAAACAAAGGCTGGGGAAAACTTTTCTGAACTGAGATTGGTGTGGACTTCTGGGAGTGAGAGGAGAGCATTTGGATCTCTGCAAGGGCTTGAAAGCAAGGTGAAACTTGTGAGACAGCTGATAGATGTGTGATGTGCAGAACGGACGTTGCTGTCCACAACATCTCACTGGATAGCTGGCCAAGACCTGAAAATGAGTATGTATGTGACACATATCTTACCAGCTGTCAGGGATAGCAGCTGTAGGAGTCACTGAAAGTAAGATGCATCTCTCCTCTGCTTTCATTTGTGTTCATTTTAATTTCAAACATGTCACAGCTACTTGATGATGAGACAGGTTTCTTCCACTACTCATCTCTCTGAATTCCTCTGTCTCTTGTCTTGCTCAGGTTGCTGTGGAGCACGGCTTGCTTGCACATCCTTCTCTTCAGCTCCCTGCTTGGTCCTTGGTGGTCCCTCCCAGAAAGCTGGCTGCGCTTTGGTCGCTAACTAGTCTTGGAAAAATGAAAGCCCTTGTTTCCATCTGCATTCCTCTGTCTTCCTTCTGAACCGTCCCATGTTCTACCTTTCCTGCCTTCTCCTTTGACTTTGTAACACCATGCTTGACTGTTCCGTCTTTCAGTTGCACTGTACCTTCATCGTGCTCTTCAGCAGCCAGGCTGCTCCCTGGCAGTGCTCTGCAGGCACACCCCCTCGCTGACACCTTCTTTCTCCTCCTTATTAATTCTCATTCTGATGACATCGTTACTATTTCTGTTCTGCTCTCCCTCTTTGCATCATTTTTTAAAAATTACGGATAGCTATTGGCTCAAAAAAGGAAGGATAAACTAATTTTGGTGTCATTTTTATAAATACCTTATGTCTGTGCATGGAAAAAACAGGTTTTTTTTACATTCTGTTTGAGACCTAGCACAGATGGTTAGGGTTAGGAGGGTCTTCTGCAGCCTTGCTTGTTGAAGGTACTCTGGCTTTGTTTAGGTGGCTTGCAACTGTTGAAAGCTTCAAGAGTGAACATTTACCTGGTTTCTAATTGTAGCAAACTGCAGTATCATTCTGAGTTCAAAGAACTGCTGATTGCCCTTTTGATCTTTATACTGCCTGGTTGCTGTTGCACTTGTGTGTCTTCTTTCGTTTCACAAATAGAAAATATTACCCAAGTGTGATTATGTGGCTGCCTTTAATTTATAATACTTTCCTTCCTTTTTTAACATAAAAAGACGTCTCTGATTTTTTTGTTGTTTTTGTTTTGTTTTCAGCCCCATCTGTTTTGATATGATTGAGGAAGCCTACATGACAAAATGCGGACACAGCTTCTGGTAAGATTTTTTTTTTGTATTGCACAAAACATCCCATCTCTTACAGTGTGTGAGGACCGACGTTGCTGTGAATCCCTTTCCTTCCAAGTTTTTGTTACTTTTGGGTCTCTGTACTGAAGAAAGGTTGAAATAGAATTTTAAAAGATGGATACCAGTTAGATTAAACCAGTCTTCTTAGTGTTTAAAACAAAAAATGTTGTGCTACCATATTTCCTTTGTAAAGAAATAAAATGGTCATAAACTGCTGGTAGCATCCAGTACACAGGGTCAGAATAGTTTGTCAATTTATCTCTATTGGAAATGGAAGGTGTGTGTTACCACCTGAAGCAGTGGATCCCACCTCTGTAGAGGTCATGGGAATGAGTGTTGGTGTTGGGAGGTCCTCCTTGCCTTTGTGCTAGACCATATACAGTCTGAAGTGGTTTGCACATTGTCTATTGCAATTCTCTTAAATTTTTGAGAGGATATGCTTCAGGTTTGTTTCTCTTGTATCGAATTGGCCCAAGGTTCACTTATTTTTCAGTGTGTTATCTCTGGCTATCACAAGGATCAAATGTTTTGTGGAGAGGTACAAGAACCCTCCAGGGGCAGGTGTGGAACTATCTGCTGCTCCTGCTCTCAACTAGGGATTGGAATAAATGTTGAACCATGATGTTTTAATGTCCTGTGTACATTATACTCTTATGATGTCTGTTAACTAGAAATAAATTGCCTACCTTTTACAACAAGTAATATTTTAGTAGCATAAAGCACTTCCTCAAGCAGGAGATTCAGTTAACTTTCAGAAATGTTTTCACCTGCAACAGGTAAGATAACAGCTGATTTTGTGCCCTTTGTGGTAACACTTTATCCCCGAGATCTGTAACTTTTAAAAAAGTCCAAGATAAAAAGCATTCAAATATCTTTATTTAGAAAGAACAGAGAAATGTTGTCACATGATGTCTTTACCAGCAGTCAACGTGAAGCTAGGTTCTTGGTGAGATGCTTAAACTTGATGCTGAAGTGCATCTTGTAGTTACTGTGTCACTCAAATAGCTAACAGCTCAACAGAGAGCACCTCTGAAGTCACTTCTGCTGAGAACAACAGCCAGGGGGTGGAGGAAATGCAAGAGGTTGGTGGAGGTGTTTCTTCTGTGTTCAATTACCCAGAATGTGCAATAGATTTTAATGTGGCTTCATAATCTAGAGGAGTTGCTTCTGAATAATGCAGTCTGTTAGTTCTATTGGTGGAAGAAGGGCATAAATTTGAGATGAAAGTGTGGCTGAAGTATCCATGTTGCCACAATCCTCAGGGAAATAAGAGTGAAGTACTTAAATACCTTTTGTAATCCTTGCCAAGAAACTTTGCTGTCTTTCTGCTGTAGCACTCTCTGAGTTAATATTGGAACGTTTTGGCTCCGCTGTAGGATCTTGCCAATGCAGCTGTTAGCTGGCACCACAGAGTACGCATTATCTAAGGGTGATATTATTTACCTTGTGCTTATGTTTTGTTCCTTCATGTTTGCTCACTTGTTCTTTTCCTTTGTTTTTATGTTTTTAAACAGCTATAAATGTATTCACCAGAGCCTGGAGGACAATAACAGATGTCCCAAATGCAACTATGTTGTGGACAACATAGATCATCTTTATCCCAACTTCTTAGGTGAGCTCTAGGCTTGCTTGCATGAGAAACATCTTGGCTGTTAAGGAAGGCAGGCACTTGTAAACTTGTCCTATAAATAACCGGCTTCTAGATATTGAAAATAAAATCCAAGCATTAGTCCTTTGGTCAGCTGTGGTTTTTATAAAAAACCCAAGTGGTTAGTAGTATAAATTGTTAATACTCCACTGCCTCCAGCAGTTCTGTATGCTGAGCTACAGTAGTGAGACTGACTTGCTGCTGTTTGCATACTAAGAAGAGCAAAACAGAGATGTTTTTCTGATGGCTAGAGATTTGAGCCTCTTTATTTACTTTTGTTTTCTTGCGCTGTTGTTTGTCTAATGATTAAGAACATGCTCTGTGTATGAAGCATGGACACTGAAGGGGGGGAGGCTGAATTATATATTGTACTGTTTTGGCTACTGTAGTGAGGTCCGTGTGATGTATGTATGTGTAAATTAGATACAGAGAAAATATTTGTACACGTACCTATACACAATCCTAATTGATTGCTTCTTAAACAGAGGAGGTAAATGTTCCTAACTGGAAATAGAGTTTAAAACTTTGCTACGGGGAGAAAAGGTTAAAGGAAACACAGTGTGAAATATCAAAATTAAATCTTCATTTCATGTGCTGGGATATCCATTTAATAGTAAATAGGTTAAAAGCCACAGTACTCAAGGAATGCTTCAGAAATGGGCATCCTGATTTAGACCAAAGCATGTTGTGCCAAAGGCGGTGCTGAGGCAGGTCTTGGAGGATGTGTTAGGCCATAGAGCATTGCTGCCATACGCCTACATTCAGGGGTTTCAGATCTGTACTGGGAGGGAAAAACAGATAAGGAGTGGGAAGAGCTTGTGTATGTCTGTGTGAAAGGTTGAGGTTGTTTTTCTGTATTTGCACCATTCACTAAATTGGTGTGAAATAGAACTGTAGCAAAAATATCTTTAAAAATGCACATAGTGATTAAAGGAAAAAGTTGTTCTACTCCTCTGTGCTTGTTTTCAGCCTGTAGTAAATCAGTTAATGTTTTTTATATCTTTCATACTCTTCTGTGATATACTTTTGCCTTGGAGTTGAGAAACTTTGTCAAAGAACCATGGGTGCTTAGAAAAAGGAACTGAAGCGATTTGGGGAATGTGTAGGCATTATATTTGATTTTTTTTAAAAAAAATCTTTATATACTTTATGAAAAAAATCAAGAAATAAATTGGTGAGAAAAAATGGAGATATCTACTGTTTTAATTACTGATAAACTTGCTTTGGACTTAATAACTAAAGTAAAAATATTGAGGTAGAATTTTTGATACTGATTGTGAACTTTAAATCCAACTCTGACATCATATTTATTTGTGTTTTTAGTCAATGAACTTATTCTTAAACAGAAGCAAAGATCTGAGGAGAAAAGACTCAAACTGGACCATTCAGTGAGTAGCACCGTATGTTCCAACTTTTTTACTTTATATTTATTTAATGGTTCTGTACAGCAATTGTCATTATGTTGCTTAATTTAGAAGAAATTATACTGTTGAGCTGATGCTTTAAGTTGCTTAATGTGGGAATAATACCAATATCAGTGGCACTAGATCCCTTCAATCTTGTTAACTCTCCTTCTTCCTGCCAGCAATATACGTGTAGAGGCAAGCTGTGTTAGCATAGCTAAGTGTCATATGATGTATTGAATATAACCTGAGAAACTACTCATGAAAGCACACTTGTTTAAAGGTAATAATTTTTATTCACTGTGCGAAATTACAGCTACAATGGAGTAATGGATGATTAGAAGTGCCACGGGCTTGTCTGATCACATGTGAGAAGCTGTGCTCTATAGGGAAATTGGAGGAAGGCTAATACCAACCACAAGAGGGAGAAGGATGCGTTCAGAGTACTGGTGTTCTGGCTCTGATCCCAGATAAAACTGCCTGGATAACTTCTAGACTTGCTTCATGTCACAGAATCAGAGCATGATCTGTGTTCTCGTTCATGAAAACCCGTGTACAGCAGCAGTGGATGCTCTTGTACATTAAGATCAGAAAGAATATATGACATTAACCGTAAAACTTGCATATTTGTCTTGCTATGTCTGGCTTACTTCCTTGGCTTTGGTAATTCATAATAAGGTTGCAAAGTAATATTAAAGATCACGGGGCCTCTGTTTTTGTCAGTTAAAAAAAAACCCTCTATGGAAGCGTTGTTAATTTAGGGGCTGTGTTGCAGAAACCAGTACTTTCAGCAGTTGCATGCTTTAGAAAAGAGTGCGCTTTAAGGATTCATTGGTTTACTCACAGTAAGTTTTTATATTCAGTATTAAATATGCATAAACCATATCTGGTTTAAAATGCACACAATTGACATGAAGGCATGTACAGTAACTTCTTGGAAATTGGTTCTACTTTCTCATAGTGCATCTTTTAAAAACTATGCCTGTAGATGTATCTATGTTAGATAGCTATCAGTAAGTGGAAATCTACCATGACTTCATGCCCAAAACAGTGTTGTGTCTACCTTTTGGCAGCAAATTTAAAATGCTAACACCTCTAAAAAGAGAACCTTGCTGTTGTACCAGCTCCTTAATGTGCCTGTTCTCCTCTTGTATTACTTCTGGTATTAAGAGAAGTCATTCAAGACATGTTGCAGCGAACATGCTGTTTCTTGGTCATGGATTTGTCTCATTAAGAAATCACGTTAACATGTCTTTGAAGCTTTCCAAGTAGTTTAGCAGTAGTACACTTAACTACTACGTTAATATGTTAAAGTTTGTCTCAAATCTTGTTGACTTGCTTAAAAATTATATTTCTTTCCAGTTGTTCCAGATTAAAATTGAGTTTTTGCCTGTGTGCTTTCCACAGTTTCTGTTGAGTTGTGTGAAAAGTAAAAAGTTGTGTGTTCTATATGGATGTTGCATAACTTATTTTTCTTAATCTAGCCAATACAAATAGGCTACAACCTCTTAGAAAATGTCTGGTTTAGACTGGATGGCATTTCTAGTTCTTGCAAATTTAAATATATTGATCTAGTGTCATAGCTTTTATAGGGCAGGATTTTTTAATCCAGCTCTGTTTCTTAGAAGGCCTAAAGACCTTTCAGTGGCTCCTGTTCGTTCCTGAGGCTTTTTAATGTAAGGCTATATTAGCATTAACCTATTATTCAGGTTTTCCTGTGCTGAAAGATACTTTATTTTTTTTACTTTTTACTGAAAACAAGAAGAGCAAACAGCCTGTAGGGAAGAATGGGCTGCATGGTAGTGTGCTGGCTCTCTGAGGAGTCCTTCTCAGCTCTAACAGGCTGAATGAGAAGATGACCCTGATGAGCTCCATCTTTCCTGCTCTCACATTTCCCATGAAAATACTCTTAAGAGGGGTAGTGTGGGAGGTGAGAATAGAAAAAATAAGCTGATACTACCTTCTATTTGAATTTAGCATGTGGGTTCTACCTATTACTTGGTTAAAAAAATTAAAAGGCATTGCCACTTAACTGTATTTCAATAGATGTAATCCAACTAAGCTTGGATAAACATGTTTTTTTTCTTTCCCCCCTTAGAAATATGTTCTCAGAAACTAGGGCACAAATCAGATAAAATTGTGGCTATGAAATAATCTCTTCCTAGCAGCAGCAGCTATGCTCTCATAAAGCACAAATATCTTCCAAATAAGATAAGCATTTACACAGTAGGACAGGAGAGCTGTATCCTGTACATGTGGGAGAATTGGGAATTCTGATTCCTGAAAATTGTTTTGAAATTTTTACGAAGGGATGAAATACTGCAATGTTGCTTTTAATATCTGTTGCTGGATATAGCCCCGGATGGCTTGAACTCACTGTCCCTCCAACCTCTTTTGTTCTCTTTCTAGAATGGCCATAGGTGGCAGATAATTCAAGATTTGTTGGGAACTGATCAAGACAATCTTGACTTGGCCAATGTTAACCTGATGCTAGAGCTGCTGGTGCAAAAGAAGAAGCAGTTGGAAGCAGTAAGAAGTTTCTCTTGTCTTACTTAAATGAACACCGTTGTCTAGTTAGCAGTTTTTTCTTTCCATGCCTTTATCTTCTTGAAATAAGATTCTATTGCTGAATTAATTGCTCAGAATTCTCTTGCATTTTAATGTTGAAGTGTTGGCCATCCCGCTGGCCTTTGTTGTAGCAAACTAACATTTCAACTGTGATGTCTGTAACATGCTTATGATGTTGCTGCTGGCAGGGTTGTATAAACAAGCAGGGAAAATGGAAAAGGATAAGAGAAAGTGGCTAGCAGAACAGAGGAGTGCATATGAAGATGTTTGCTAATTAACTGTTGCACAAGTAACTATCAGATCTTTCTTGGTAATAAGCATGAAGAAGTCCAAAATATAGGTTAAGGAATAAACTCAATGAACATATGAAAATGATCACACCTTTTAGTTTCTACTGGAACAGATAGCACCTGAATCACTGCCATCCCTGAAGACTTCTTTTAGCATTTAATGCTTGAAAGAGAAGTTCAGATGTCTTGTTTATGAGATTGGTTTGAAGATTTATAGAATGTGAAGCAAGCTGCTCCTATGATTTAACTGAAATGTAGTTGGTTTGGGATAGTTCTCATGTATTTGGCCATTCCATGCTGTTGGTCTCAAGTGACCATCTTCCATTTATGAGAGCCAGACCTTCTAAGTTAAACTGGATTACAAAATTTGGCCTAGAGAGAACTTTGGGTAGGAGGGTGGATTTCAATGGTGCTTTAAAACAGGTGAGGAAAAGTTGTATTGGGAATGGCTTATCTTATTCACTCTTGCGGAATCAATATTTACACAACTTGTTGTTCTGATGGAAGGGAAGTAACCCAAAAATATGTTTACTGCCTACTAGCAAAACTGTCATGTTACTTTATTGTTTGGGGACTTGTACATAACTTTTTTTTTTATTGTGGTTCAGTGAAGATATGATGGGAGTATAGTTTCTAACTTCAGAGTAAAACCTCTTTTTTCCCTTAAGCCTTTTTGTGTCATTTTTGACAAATCAAAGAAGGCACAGGACTGGATGTATGGGTGCTTCTGAGCAGGAATATCTTTAAGAATACTAAGCCTTAAAAAAAAAAACCCCAACAACAACAAAACAAAAAAAACCCAAGCAAACAACCCCCAAACAACAACAAAAAAAACCAAAAACCAAACCAAAAAAACCACAAAACACACCTAACACTTAAAGAACAATTTAAAAACATTTTTCCTTTCTAGTTTTACTTGCTTCACTTTCATTATTGTCACAGGGGTGGGGAGGAAGAAGATAATCTCAGAAAAATAGTAGTTTTGCATACTAATCTCTTTACTTTTCCTGTCCTATCATCTGCTTTTAATGGATTCTGTGTGCTCCTATGTCTTGATCCTTTTTGAGTGTATGTTCACAGTCCTTTTAATAAGTATTTCGGTAGGTTGTGAAAATAAGTCTCAGAATGGTGGGATAGGATTAGGTCTATATTAATGCTGGAATATAGGTTTTATTTTTCTTTCCTCTTGTTCTTCTCTTATCTTGCCATGTCAAATTTTTGGCCAATTTGGGTGAAAATATTAAGCTGATGGTTGAGGTAAATGATCTCTTATGGAAAGATTGGAAAGGGATGTTTTAGTTTCATCAATGACTTTATTGTTGCCTTCCACTCTGGAGAAATCTTCAATGGTAACCTCTTTACATAAACACAAATGTTAATTTTGGGGGGAAGTGTTTTTTAATAGATACTTCATGCTTTAGTATATTAATCATTAAGTGGATGCTAATGATCTTCCAGGGTGGAAGGTGAGTTTGAGAAACCTGTATTCCAAAACTGATTTCAGGTGCAGTAGCCAAAAAAAAAAACAACCTGAAAAGCTCTTCAACTTATTAGTAAGTCTTCAGTAATGGACAAACGAGTTGTTAGCACAATTTCTGCCTTTATATAAAAACTTGTCGTGAGCCAAACAAAACCTTAAAACCTGTGAGGCAAAGTACAACTACCATTCTTAAAACTGCTTTAATAAGCTATTTTCTCTTCCTCACCTCTAAATGTAAGCTGTTTCTGTGCTAAGTGTGGATTTCTGTGCATAAAATGAATGTTTGTTTCTCTTAATGTGTATGGAAGAGTTATACTTCCTTATTTACTGTGTTACAGGAGTCCCATGCTGCCCAATTGCAGATCCTTATGGAATTTCTCAAAGTTGCCAGGAGAAACAAACGAGAGGTAACTTGCTTTGTGTTTCAGTGGTTGAGGTGTTGTCTGCTGCTTTCTACCAGTTCATTTCTATTTAAGTGATGTGTTAGCCTGGCATTATCTCTGCAAAGAAAAAGGCAAAGTGTGTTTGGGGAAGTCTCAGGCAGAGGACACATGGGTTTCAAGGAAAACTAATCTCTTTACATGTGGCAGCTTCAATTTTTAATTGCTTGCCTTTTTGTCTCACACTGGTAAAGCATGTGGGAAGAAGGGAGCTTGAGGATAGAGATTCCTCACTGTAAATTTACATCAAATTCTTGAAACAAGATTTTTTTCTGTGATGGGAAAACTGAAGGATGGGGAAGGAGTGAAATCATCACTTAAATTTTTTTCTTTTAGTGTATCAAATGCAATAACTAATACTGTGTTGTAAAAGAATGAATATTCTGTGCTCTTTCCTTATTTGTCTCAAAATGAGTGTCTCAAGTAATGAGAGAGAGGGTTCCATAATCACATACATGGTCTTTCATGGTTTGGGACTTATAAATTATAATCTCATGCAATGCATAAACCCTAGTACCAGAAATACCCCAGAAACCTAGAAAAATAATTGTGAAAACAACAAAAGGACAAGCTTTCTTGGAGGTCGCGGTTTTTGATGAAAGATGAAGAAAAACATAAGACCCAACAGCATGACTAAGGTCAAACTTGAACCACGTTAAGGTGACATAAGAAGCCTTGTCCAGAATGGATTGATGGTCTGGTTATGGAGTCATCCCAAAGCAAGTTGTTTAGAGTCCATCCACCAACAGGTATCATGGCCGCCTGACCAGAACGAACAGGGGTAATGGAAACGAACTAACTAAAGGGGAAAACTGAGTCCAAGATAAAGTTGCATTTGTAGAGTATGAGATCTAGTAGGCTAGGCATAGTATCCCATGAAGAAGTGGTGAAAACAGTGCTTATTAGGATTATACAAATGTCAAAGGAAACTGAGAGCCAAGATAATCTCTAGTGTACTAGACATATCAGTGAAGACAAAATGGCATGCTTCCACTTCTGATTCTGTTAGGTATGAAGCATACTATTTGTTTGATCCTTCAGGGTTAGAAAAAGTGGAGAAATATGTATTGTTATTTTTTTGCTGAAACAGCAAAGGCACAAGTGTTGCTCAAAACCACTGAGGTATCTTTTAGCTTTCATTTCTTGAATCGTGATAAAAGTTATTTTATGCTGACTTAGTCTACAAACACCTCTCAAATCTTCAGAATATCTACTTTCATCTTCTTGTATTAATAATATTTAGTATTATGCAGAGAATTTCGGAAGCTTGACCCATCTTCACTGCAGAAGTAATGCAGGCACTGGCCATTGTCCACTGGCACTCGTTAAACACCTTCCATCAGGATTTGGCGCAGCTTGAGGGACTGTTAAGATAATTGGGGAAGTCTCCTGGGAACTCTGCCTTTGTCTGGGAGGTGAATTGAGAATAAGCGCTTCAGGAGGTTTATACACAGCTTGGCTGGGGTGCTCTTCCTTGGGTAATCCTGTGGTGATTCAAGTGCAGGGTGTTTGGAGCAGTACCATGAAGTCAATGATGACTTTGCTTTCTCCTCCCCTAGTTGAAACTGAGTTATAACAACTCTTACAGAAAGAGGGGCTGCTGATACCTACTTCAGTTTGCATGTGTTGAATGGGAAGGATGAAGGGAAGGGAAATTGCATAGCTTCTGTTTTTTAACATACTGTAACATGGTGTTCCACCACTGATTTTCAGCACTATGGGAAACCTTTCCCATCTCATCTGCACCTGCCCTTGGCTTTAGTAATAATGTACAAGGATAGCATCTCTTTTTTTTTTTTCCTTTTTTTAAGGCTAAAGAAACCTAATTTTGGCTGCAGATCCTCTGAATATGGCCTTGGGAATGTCCTGAAGCCTATAGGGACACATAGCTTATTTCAGATCCTCTCTGTCCCTGCTTATGTGTTCCCTCTGCCAAGATTTCCTCTGATGTTATTTCTTACCCCGCTTTATATTCAAACATGACATGCAGACTGTCACGTGTCAAAAGACTTTTCTGCAAGCCTGTGAGTTCTGTCCTTGCTGTAGTGGTTCGCATCTGGCCTTGCCATTTATTTTGAAGGTGTATTGGGTTTGCGTGGCAAGGTTTTAGTAGCGGAGGGGCTACAGGGGTAGCTTCTGTGAGAAGCTGCTAGAAGCTTCTCCCATGTCTGATAGAACCATTGCCAGCCAGCTCCAAGATGGACCTGCTGCTGGCTGAGGCTGGGCCACTCAGCGACAGTGGCAATGCATCTGTGACAACGCTTATAAGAAGGAGGAACAAAAAAACCCTGCAGGACTGCAGCCGGAGAGGAATGAGGATATGAGAGAAACAACTCTGCAGACACCAAGGTCAGTGAAGAAGGAGGGGGAGGAGGTGCTCCAGGTACCAGAGCAGAGATTCCCCTGCAGCCTGTGGTGAAGACCATGGTGAGGCAGGCTGTCCCCTGCACCATGCTGGAGCAGGTAGATGTGCCCCAAGGAGGCTGTGACCCTTTGGGAAGCTTGTACTGGGGCAGGCTCCTGGCAGGACCCGTGGCCCTGTGGGGAGAGGAGCCCAGGCTAGAGCAGGTTTGCTGGCAGGACTTGTGACCCCATGGGGGACTCACGCTGGAGCAGTCCGTTCCTGAAGGACTGCACCCTGTGGAAGGGACCCACACTGGAGCAGTTCATGAAGAACTGCAGCTGGTGGGAAGGACTCGCGTTGGAGAAGTTTGTGGAGAACTGTTTCCCATGGGAGGGACCCCACGCTGGTGCAGGGGAAGAGTGTGAGGAGTCCTCCCCCTGAGGAGGAAGGAGTGGCAGAGACAATGTGTGGTGAACTGACTGCAACCCCCATTCCCCATCCCCCCGTCCTGCGCAGGGGGGAGGAGGTAGAGAAATTGGGAGTAAAGTTAAGCCTAGGAAGAAGTGAGGGGAGGGGGGAAGGTGTTTTTAAGATTTGGTTTTATTTCTCATTATTCTACGCTAATTTGATTGGTAGTAAATTAACCTAATGTCCCCAAGTCAAGTCTGTTTTGCCTGTGACAGTGATTGGTGAATGATCTTTCCCTGCCCTTTTCTCGACCCACGAGCTTTTCATTCTATTTTCTCTCCCCTGTCCAGCTGAGGAGGCGGAGTGATAGAGCGGCTTTGGTGGGCACCTGGCATGAAGCCAGGGTCAACCCACCGCAGAGGGAAATGAGGACATGTCAGACTTGCTGCTAACAATCTTTCTTTTCAGTTGGTAAGGATAAAGATGAGAAGCAGTGGGTGGAAGCATGGAAAATACAGACCAGTGCAGTAGGATAGTTTTAGCAAGATTTCAAAATCTGTCTTCATCAATCAAGATACACCCGTAGAGTAAACTAAGCTACTTGATGCTTCCTTTCTAGTAGGTCTCAAGGTCCTCCCTGTAGCTGGTGGAGTTTGACAAGTACTCCTTTCTGGAGAGAGTTTTGTGTGTGGATAATAGAAGAGCTACTGTTTGGGAAAGGGCATAGCTTATGCTGGTGATGTGTCCAGGCTTCAGAAAGCACAAGATGCTAGTTTGGAAGCAGAGAAGGGGGGTTTAAGTGTCCACATTAATAATGCAGTAAAGCAGAGGAAGGTAATCAGAGCTTCAAAGTTTATTGTAGTTTCTTTTGATGCTGTAGTAGGTGACTGTTTAAGAAATAAGGATAAAACTCGAACACGTGTGGACCCTGGAACACTTCTGTGACATGTATTGCACATAGCTATGCGTCGTATGAGCAGGCTTTATTATGGGGAGGAGCACTATCTTTTTTTCCTTTCCTAATTCAAACCTGATGCTAGTAAAGATGACTGCAGACTAATTGCAATTTCACTCAGTCAGCCATAGCTGCAATATAAAGTTCTAAATAAATAAAAGCTGCTCTGTGTGTGGCTGAGAGTGCCTAATTCAAATTTTGGCTGGAATGTTTAAAGGAATGTAAAATTGCCTGGTAACTTTGTTTCCTAATATGCCTCTCTGAGCATTATTTATTGCACTATTTTATTCACAGGTTTTATTTATTACATACTGCAAGGTCTTACTTAGAGACTAGGTACTTTGTTAGTTAATACAGATATTGCCTTAAGAGTTAGTGTACCTGTATAATATTTCGTAATGAGTTCAGAGCATATAGTTAACCACCTGTAACCCTCCTTGGTTGCTTCACTCATAAGTTTTCTGGGTTTTATCTCCTGCCATCATGAAATGGTGACTTCTGAGCTTATTTGAGGGAGTTTATATCTAGAAGAAAACTCTATCTTTATAGACTTGTACTTAAGAATTCAGAATATTGCTGTAGTCAAGTATTTTGACAAATGCCTCTTTCTTGTACTTTCATCGTTTCTCTAGAAGATAAATGTGAGGTTCAGCACCTGCAGAAGTTTCTATTAGAAATCCTGTTTTGATGTGTTCATAACTTTCCAAAACATTGATCTTTCAAGCTGAATTTTACTGCATGTTTTTTGCACAAAGGTATTTGCAAGTCCTTTTTCTTTTAAGTTTATATATAGTTTTCTTTTTGACCTATGGCAATATGGCAAAGAACCAAATCCTTGGCAATAATAATAGGGGGAAAAAAAATTCTTACTTTGAGAAAAGATTGAAAACAAATGGCTAAAGCTTGAAAATACTTTTTCAACAAAATAACAGATAGCTTTGGAGGGGAGAAATATATCGATCATCCACAATAGTTGGTTGTCTCTAAGGCAAACTTAGCATGGCTGTGTGCCTTTCCATATGTGTGCACAGTTAATTGAATGCATGCTCTCCATTTTTTTTGATCCAGCAGTTTCTTCTGTTGAAATCAAGGATCCAAGAAGTCTGGAAGGTCAAATTTAATAATGAAATACTTGACTTTGGGTTTTTATTCCTATTTTCAAGGGAAACCAAATGCAACAACCTGTGACTCTAAAATTCACATTTTCATGCCAGAGTTTTAATGCTGTTAGCTTAGCTGTCTTACATAAATACTTTTGCA